CATCGGAGGCACTCTGAGGAAAACCGATGTTTCGTAATGGGTCGAACAAATGAGCCAGAAGTCGCTCTTGTTCTAGAAGCAATTGACACTTAAGCAATAACAATTGCTACATTTTTTAAGTAATTTTCTTTTTTTAGTATACATTTGAAAGAAAAATCTTTTAAGCCAAAAATTAAATTAGTTTTTGATCTGATCATATAAAATTTAAGATTAATTATTAAAATTAATTATAAAATTTAAAATGCTTTATTACCTACACCTACATACAAAATTACTATTAAAATCAACACTTTCGATATATACATACGTACTCAAACCTATTTAGATGTAGGAGTGGCATGTTTTTGATTCTGCCAAATAATCCAATATTCAAAGATTATAGTTTCCAATAAAAGTTTTTACGACTTTTCTGCCCCTTTTTAACAAGGATGGCACAATTCACAGAGATCGTCATCAAAACATATTACAGAAGTTTTCGTATTAAATTACAAAATCAAACAAACATATAAATATGATTACTCTATTTCCCACAATTCCCACGTAGGCGACTGAAGAGAATATGGATAAGACAACTCTTGAATGATTAATAACAAATTATTATGTGGCTGACATATCAATTATATTTTGTGGTCCGATTGACCAAATAATTTCTTTCAATTAATTAATCTTTAGGTAAGGTATTGGTTGAAATGAAATAGTCCTCTCGTGATACTGACATTTTTATTTCAACCAATACCTTACATAAAGATTAATTGATTGAAGAACATTGTATAGTTCTGATGAAAGTGATATATTTTTCAAATGTTTGAGAAAGGATTTGAGCTTTTGTTTTGTTTATTTATCATCTAAAATTATAAGCAATAAAAGCATGGACTTATTAAGCCCAATTTAGGCAGAAGAAATATTATTGATAAGTTATAACCAGCCTGAAAGTGAAATCGTTTTAGCGCAATAATTTCTTCTATAGTTTTTGTTCCTAACAAGATTTTTAGTTAATTATTTCTTTACTATTTTTGTTTGACAAATATAATTTAGGTTCGAGAATTAATTATACTAAAAATATTAGTGGCACAAAAAACCAAAACAAACATTAATTCAAAATCAATTAAACTTAATTTTATGAGTTGATGTTAGTAAGTTGAATGTACATGTATTACATTTTTCAATATTTATTTTCGTGTTATTTTTTTCTCTTCGGAATTATGGGCTATCTATGAAATTGGTACGGACTTATTACTTTGTAATTCAAGCCGAGGCAATATCGGCTTGATAAACATGTTTAAGAATCTTGTGGAGAACGTGTTTTAGGCCGTTCCCGAGGATCCTTTCACTTATCTCACCGCTTCTATTATCTCAATCGAAAGAAAAAGCGGTTAAATATAATTCCGACTGTTTTCAACATATAATATCTCCTTACTTGTTTTATGTCGGGATCTTTTAAAAAAGGGGCTGTATAATTGTGTGCAAGAGTCGATCGACATAACACATAAAATGCAAATAGTCGCACACTGTAACACGTAGTTTTCATTGAAAATATATTGCTTTAGAAAAAACTATAACACCATCATCTAGTATAATGATATCTATTACAGATAAATCCTGCATATTATGCCAAATGGGGCAAGATAAACTGTCTCACTTATCTTTCGAATAGGATTTTAAATGACAATGTTTTTCTATTAGAATACGATGATCAACACTTTGAGCAGATGTTCTGCCATTTCAGTACTACTGAACTGGTTGTTAACTAAATCAAACCGTTCCGTCAAATCAGGAAGGCTTGAATGCTTGTACTCATTATGTGTTTTATAAAAATTTTTGTCTCAGGTGCGGTAATCTTTAAATGTTCTTAACAAAAACGACACAAACAAAACATATACTGAAAACATATTATGTTCTCAACAAAGCAGTTGGCGATCATAATTTTCAACCTTTATTTATACTTATATAATAAAAGAAAGAAAATCATGTACATACATACAAAATTATATTTATTGCAAATCAGAACCGTTGATTTTGGTCTGCTTATTCTTCCTTGTTTGGTCTGTGAAAAAGAACACTGAAGATGCCAACATGTCGAAAAGCGTTTGCCAGACCAACTCAGTGAGGATAGGCCAAAATGATCGTTAATGACCAAATTGCTGGTTCAACATCTTACAGACAACATGATGACCGCAACAGATTAGGCGTTCATCACTGTAAGGTCTACACTACATATCTACGAATAGGCATTTTTTCAAAAACACAGTATCCCCGAGGGTTGATATGACCTCTGCTGTTGCAAATGCCCGTTTAAAAATGAAAACAAAAAGGCTATATGTCACAATTTCTTATCTTAATGCTCTGAAAATGAAAAACTGTCAAAGCACTTCGGTGTCTTTCTATTTACAGCGCCAGTTGCAATAATCGTAGTGTTCCATAAGCGAATATATGATAAGTAAAAACTAAAAATAAAGCTATTGTTAATCAATAGTCATCATTAAGTGAAAATGAGATTATATTACAGATAATTTAGATAATAGTTTTTAAATTTCCTATACAATTGTTACAGTGGGATAAAAACTGATATTTTAATGTAACAATGTATGATGTTTTTTATTGTGAGTAGTGCATGTCGTCAGGATGGGTTTTATCCGGTAATTGAGATGGCATCTTGATAACGTATGATTTCATAACATAAACATGAAATTTCTTTCGTTTTATAATTATTAATTTTGTTTAAATCTTAAAATATTGTCCTTGCTGTTTAAATATTGTGATTGTTGGTATACTGTAATCTATCATTTTTTACAGTAGGAAATTTAGTCATGTTGTTTAAGATATCGTCATAGACTCGAAAACAGAATCATACATTTTCACACGATCCATTTTAAAAATTTCGTTGAACGAATATTTACTTTAATCGAAGAAAATTATCCCTTATTAGTTAAAACGGATGGTTCTACTTATAAGCTGGTTTGGCAGTGATTCGGATTATGAGCATTAAATGTTCATTACCAGAGTACGCAATTTATCTACGTTTACGTTTTTCAAGCAGATTGCTGACGCTGATTTCATTATTATTTCTCAAAAGTAGTTGACAATTTTTCAGCGATAGTATAGTGAAAGAAATATAAAATTAACTAGGGCGATGTTAAAAACTACAAAGTTTCAGTTTTTCTCAGTACAAATTATTAATACATTGACTAGATTTGTGATTATTGAATGTGAAAACAGTGAGGGCAGTTTTTCTTGTGACAAAAACCTAAATGAACCAGACAAAAATTATTGGTCTCTAAATCATATAATAAACAGGAACCGACAGAAGTCAGGAATATAAAATGAATATATTTAAAACGAATGATATATGATTTATGTTAGAGTAAAGCAAGAGTTTGTTAATTCATCATGATGACAGATGGGCGTACGAGAATTCTGTCATGTTGACTACACGCATAATAGATTTATATAAAAGTAAAAAATGTGTTCGATGTAATTTTTGTTTTACAGTTTAATAATATATACTTCGAAATTTGTCTAAGTGAAAACCCGATTGGTTTCAAAACTTCTGTTTTGTAAAATGGCTTAACCCGACAAATATATATATAGTTGAGATCGGTGTAAATATAATTCAATGTATTAATTAATAAATTACTTGTGATGGTATGTACATAATTTGTTAATAATAAGAATTTAAAATTCTCGGTTTTACTTACAGGAAGAGAAACTAAACTTTTCTTAAATTTTTCTTATAGGTTTTTTAGAACAAGAAAAATGTTTATTTTAAAAATGTCTGTTTTGAATTTTTTTTTAACAAAAACCAAAACTTAAATATCAATAATACTTTTTTCTTATCTCTATATCTGTTTTAATAGTGTTGCCAATTAGTTAACACATTTTTATAATTATTTTATTAATAATATTTACCTTTAGTGTTATAATAACGAAATAATAATAAAAATGTATTAATTTAAGAAATAAAATTATGTAAAATTAAATATTTTTCAGAAATAAACCCTGTACTTGAAAATGGCACAAGATCTCGAAACGAGAAACAATTAATATTTTATAAAAATACCTAAAAAAAGGGCTTAGAAATAAGAGGAAGAGTGGGTTATTATTATTTTACTATTTTTCTTTCAAAATTTAGTATCTGTTTCTATTAAAATGGAAATAAAAAAAATAAATTATCCAAAAAAATAATATAAAAAGAACCAATGAAACGAAGAAAAGAATAATCAAAAAATAATTACACATTGAGCTTAATTTATGAAAACAATTTACTGCTGACAAATAAATGTTTTTTCAAAATTTTCATTATATACACAAAAAACCACAATTGAAAACAATTGGCTTTGCAGGAAATAAAGAGGTAGTTACTATTTTTATACTGTATTTATGTAGTCATTAAAATTATTTAATTTTGTACTTTTAAAACTTTCAAAAATCTTAAAAACCCATTAATTTGCTGTTTCTTAATCGATCATAGATCTTCATCGACATTCCCTATTCAATATACGCATGAATCCTCAATACTATTTTTAAGTACACATGTATCAATTTTACATAGTGGAAGACAGATTAGATTCTTTAAAAGCTACCTATGTTTAGATTGGTCATTATGAATACAATGGACGTATTTAGGAACGATTAGACATATCTACAGCGATTATATGCAACGGATTTGAAGATCTTAAATAAGAAACATGCTTGTAATCGTTCATGACTAATATGAATGGATTTTAAAAGAAGGGTGCTCTCAGACGGTTTTAGACCATGAGGAACGTCTTTCTTGCATTGAAAAACATATTTCCGAATTGTAAACTTCGTATATATTAAAGAAAAAAGACATATAGTACTAATAGATGGGTAATTTTTATGTAAAAATGGTTGGTTAAAAAAATTACTGACCCATCATGGGCTAGGTTGGACACTGAACAAGGCATTTATATCTGAATAGAGGACATCCTGGAATGTCAATCAGTGCACCGTGAGAACCCAAGTTAACTTTGTTTACTTACGAGCAATGCGGTGAGTATTGACATGTCGGTTGTGGCGAGCGGTGTGCGTTGAATTGCGGTCTGAGGACGAGCCGCGGAGGGGCTCCCCTCCAAACAAGGATGAGCACAACCCCCCCTAGGAACACACCTTTTCTTCTAGTACACCCTCAGAAGATACTTAAAGACTTCGAGTAATTTAACGCTAGTCACGGTCAATAGGATCGATCCAATTTTAACGATGCATTGATTAGGGAGACATCCTCTAAGCGTTAACTTATTAGCTCTGGTCATGGGGACAGACTGCGAGAATATGGTTTTTGATATTTTTTTCCCTTTATCCAACTTGCTAATAAAGATATATTCATTAACTACTCTAGAGGTTACTTCATATGCTAAACACTTGTAAATACGGTAAATTTATAAACTTCTTTTTTACTCATAATTTGTCGTGTTCGTACGGTTTGGCACAGTGAATTCGCGAAAATTGAAATGGTTGGCTGGGCAGTCTGAGCTATCGTCTTTCTTGTTTTGTTCAGGCTAAACAAAGAGACAAAAAGGGGCAACTTAAATTCAAGAAGAAAGAGTTTAACAACCTCTACCGCAAAAATTAACATAATTCTATAATTTTGCTGATTGCCTTTGTTGCTAGGGACATTTTAAACGAATGGTTGGTTCTTGAAGCCGTACTTTTGTAATGATAATGAAACTAACGGAAATCTGGAACAGCATAGCTTTTTAAAAGAATGAATCACTTTATTGGAATGATATATTCTTACCGTCCGCAAGGTGTTGGGCTTGTACTTTGATCGTTTTTGATCCTTTTGGTATGCCATCCTCATTGTTTTTGCCTTCACATAAAAATTAACAGAAGCCCTCAAACTTTAATTTAGTTTAAAGTCAACTCAAAACATTCTTATTAAAAAATCTACTGTTTATCTTTTCTTTTTCCTTTTGATTATCACTCATTTTTATTTACAGAGATAAATACCTATTATCTTATAAATTTGAAGTCATAAAACTTTCTTATTATGAACTATTTAGCAAATATGTATAAACGTTTTTTTCTTGTATGCATTTGTAAAATAAATTATAAAGACCAAAGGAGTATGTATAAATTGTACAACTCATGTTAAGTGGAAGAATCGTCCACGAGGCTAACTTTGCGTGGTTAAATAAAACGTTTAATCAATCTATCAGTCAATCTCTCCCTCTCTTTTTGTCCTCACTCTCTCACCCTCTCTTTGTCTCTCTCACTCTCTCCCCCATATTGTTTATCAAACAAAATTATACATAATAATAATAAAAAAACGAGGGCGTCGGTGGCCGCAAGGTTTAGTCTTTGACACGGCGCTCATCACTGTAAGGTAAAGGTCCCTGGTTCGAATCCAGCGGCCCTGCATTCGAACCCGACATACTTACAAATGGGCTTTTTTTCAAAAACAACGGCACCCTGAGGTCAATATGACCTCTGCTCTTGGGAACCCTCGTAAAAAAAAAATAAAAATAAATAAAAATAAAAACTGAAACACAAGACAATATTCATATACAATTTTTATGTTTAATTCACAAAATAAAATTCTCACTCAACAAAATGTATATAGTTAAATCTAAAGACCTCAACTGCAAAGTTTAAGTATATACGCTTTAATAAATGATAAAGAAATATTGTTGTTGCACTTGTAGACATATTTTTGTAGGACGGTTTTTTAAAAAGGTTGTTTTTATTTTTATGAAAGGCTTCCATTTTTGTTGATAAAGCTCTTCTTGTATAGGACAAATTATATGCGATTTTTCAAGTTGAGATATTTTTTCAGTTTCCATTTTAAATGAAGGTGTGGAATTAAGTCAATCTTAATTATTAAATATTAATCCATTTACGGTTTAGTGGTCAATTGACCAAGTTAGTTCTAGCAATTAATTATTCTTTCCGTATAGGTCTTGATTGAGATGAAATTATTTTAATTATTAACTTAAATGTTTAAAAGGAATATGGTATAATAGTATAATTCGAGGCATTGTTTCAACCCGAGCTGGAAGGAATAAATTAATAGATTGGCTTTCGAAAAGACTACCAGCTGAATTCATATTTGCTGAAGAGGGCACACGTAAAACACGCATACTATGAAAGCTGTATGAATTATCTCTCTGCTTGTTTACTATCTGAACACAAATACATTACAAAAAGTGTTTGAGGAAAGTAATAAACTTTGTTCCTGGCACAATAAAAGAAGTTTTCTCCTGACAAGCCCGTGACGTGTAGGGTCTCTACAACTAATTATTGGGTTATCAATTCTTTCTTGAACAAATAATCATGTCTAGGACAGAAAGTTCTTTATTTAAATTCACTAAACTGTTACTCGTGTCATTCTTCCTTAGCTGTAAATAAAATGTTTCGCTTTTCATTACCACTGCTGTGACAAGTATTAATGTGCTTTTGCTTACTAGGGAAAAGACAAGAAGGAATACAAAAAATCTGCATTGTTTTTAATAAATAACATTTTTAAATTGTCAACTTTATTGATTTATATGATAGTATTTTAAGCAGCTTATTTTCGATGTTTCTATTCACGGACTTTTGTACTGTTTATTATCAATATCCTTATTATAGCGTAAGGTATTGATGGAAATAATTGATATAAAATATTAGCCGTCTCCCTATAAAGAGAGAATTATCTAAACTCTCTATATTTTGGGTTCATCAATATAAACCCTCTTATTCATCGTCCTCATTATTTATTTATTACCGGCTCAAAATTAATTATTATATGTATTTATAGATTATAAATATTTATGAAATAAGAGCAAGACTTCTATAAACTCATAAAACAAAAAAATGCAGATGGCACTGTAAGTTGTAGGATCTTCTATGGAATTGGCCAGCCTTTCTAATAGTTACTTAGGATTAGGGTTGTGGTCAGAATATTGTTTTTATTTTTGCATCAACGCCGAGCTTTCGACAATTTTTTTTCCGGGTCTACAGAGAACATTCTTATTAATTTTCTTACATATACATAGGAATGGGTGGTGTTTAGTCACCGTTAGCCAATGATCATTCGGAGATAGTGATATGCGGTCTGGTGTGACGTAGGTGTTAGAAAAACATTTTCTTTATCGTGCCAACGTTTCGATCTTTATTGAGATCATCTTCAGGGCCTGGGGTTTATAAATATTGTTTAAATTTTACAAACACACATCCTACATGTATTTGTAAAATTTAAACAATGTTTATAAATCCCAGGACCTAAAGATGATCTCAATAAAGATCGACACATTGACACGACAAAGAAAATGTTTTTCTAAAACCTACGTCACACCAGACCGCATCTCACTATCTCAGAATAATCATTTTGCCTAGGTATATCACAGATACTTGACAACTTACAGGTACTTACTCAAAATGTTCAATTATTAAATAAGTTTGTCAAATAATAACAAAACTTCATCTTCAAACTATACTAGATTTCAACAATATAAATAGGAAACTGAACTATAAAAAATATAAATAATAAAACAACTACACTTAACATGTACCTATATATATATATATATATATATATATCACATGGGCGATGACTAAACTTTTGAGGTTTTCTCCTTTGGTGGGAGGTAATACACACTGCCACAACGGATTTACCTCTTTTTCTCACCAATACTAATATTTTAACACAGCCTGTTTTTTAATAAATAAATATATAAATAAGTACATAAATAAATGTTTATATTTTTTCTTCATTATTTAAAATCTAGAGAGCAACAACTACAATACAGGCAGATCAAGACAAGCCCTTTGTTGTTATAAATATATTCTTAAAAACTAGTATAGTTTGGCGATGGAATTTTGTACAAACATGTTTAATAATTTAACGTTTTGAGTAAGTTCCTGTAAGTTGTCAATCATCTGTGATATACCGATATGTATGAAAATTAATGTAAGAATAGTGCCTATAGACTGAAGAAGTCGGAATATATCGTCGAAAGCCCGGCGGTGGTGCAAAAATAAGGCATTATTTCTTATCAAAACAAGTAAATCTCATAATTTGTGATGTGAGTAAGCATCTATAAATTCTCGGATACTTTGTAGTTCCAAGTCTCTGTGCAGTTGCCTATTCTGAATCCGAAATCCATTTGGCGTTTACAGTTATTCTTATGGCTTTATTTTGAAATGTTTTTACTCTTTGGAGCTTAATTGGGTTGCACTTCCCTATACTTATTACTAAGAATGAGTATCGGTGTGAAGATGACTTTGTACAGGCGCAGAGTAGAGTTGGTTTTTAATTTCGACCTGTTAATAATGGTATAGATCATAAAACGTTTTACATGCGCATTTGTTAATTTTTTTGTGTAAGGGAAAATTTAAATATAAATGAGGGTCTATACATAACAAATGCTCATATTATTGCCACTGCTTGATCTTCTTGTTCCCATAAAAGTCTACTTTTTCGTAACATTTCCTTTTATGGTTTCCAATCCTCGATGGGTATGTCCTTTTTACAAATGTATTCAAAGGGGCGTTGGTGGTCGCAACGGTTTAGGCATTGACACGGCGCTCATCACCAGCAAAGTAAAGCTCCTGGGTTCAATGAAGCAGATGATAAAGAGATTTATAAATCTCTCAACATGGAAGGTATTAACCCTAAATTCAACAGTGCAAACTGTCTTTAATTTGGCGCAAATAAGTTTTCAAGTAACTATTTCCAAATTTATATTACCAGGCTATTTCGTTTCATAAAAAGAAATCTTCAACTAAGAACCAATTTATTTATATATTATTTTAGGTGATAATAATTTTTTTCATCTGAGAATAATAAATTAAGGGCACAGAAGTTAAACTCGTCGATTCTATATAGATAAATACTTTCGATTTGTTTACAGTTTTTCTCTGGTTTTTGATTTGAAAATATACCATTCTGATGGAGTTACTGAAAATTCTAGTTAATAACACTATTTCTTGTTTGGAGAGGTTTTTTATGATTATAGCTTTAATCATACCTAAGGGACTTTACCATTTTGATGCCTAATAAGTTCAACTGTTTCTGCGGGAATTATATGCTCTAGTGGTAATTGTGAAATACCATATGCCTGGTTTCTTCCAACCTAAATAT